TTTGAAACATCTCTCCAAAGCTCGTTTCTTGCCCATCAGTGTAGGAGCGATCAAATCGCTAAACACCAGCAGAGAGACTCTCATTCAAATCCCAACGAAACGGTCTAGTTGCATGAGAGATTTCGTGGTTTGAAATGTGTATAACTTGGATACGAAAGAACTTCCCTTAAAAGCACTCTTCCGCTCTCTGTCTTGGGGCTACTCTTGTGTGCATTAACATAATCTAAATTTAAACAGAAAAAAAGAAAACAGTTTGTTTTTTCATATATATTAGCCCATAGCGGCCGAGCGGTAAAGTCGCTGAACACTGGTAGTTCGGTCCGAGGTTCGAATCCCGTGAACGGGCTGGTTGCATGGACGTTTTAGTGGTTTTCCCCCATGTGTAACGTGTATAGGAGCCAGTTTCTCTTAGAGACTCCTCCACGAAGGCATCCCTCCCCTTAGGCAGATAGCCCTAGTGTGCTTTGCCGTAATTAAATAAACCAAACCAAAACCATATATATGAATTTTTTCATATATATGAATACATTTCATCTTTCATGTCTTTATTGTGATTTTCTTACTTTTAAGTTATTTAATTTCGGAGCTTACCATCTACTTCTACGATTTTCATCGCCATTTTGTCTTAACATGGGTCTTTGATACTCCATGTTTTTCTCTAGAATACTGCAGTAAATTTCATTTTTTATAAATATTTTTAGTTTCTATTTTTATATACATGCACATTTTCCTTTCTTACATATAAATTTTCACAGATATTTTTTATCAAAATGGTAAATGATAAAATTTAATTGAGAAATAATGAGAGGTTCAGCAAATACAAGGTAAATATTTCAGATAAGATGAAATTCTCTTTTTGAGCCATGCTTAGATTCGTAAATTAATTAACTGGGGAGTTTCTCGTGGCTGTATCTAACGCCTGAAGCCTTTATGCTTTCATAAATGAAACAGGAAATTGGGAATCCTATATAATTCAAAAGACATACAGTAACTACTACGAAATATTTTCTAAGTATCTAAAGTAGACTATTCCGCATTAAAATTCTTTCTCAGACTCTGTCCTTTAGTTTTTCGTCAGTTTTAATAAAATTTTAATCAAACTAAAATTTCAAAAATCCGTAAGTGTTTTCAAGGTCATTAATATTGACAAACTTGCCTGGAAATTCAGCGGCAAGGTATTTTCTACTTTTGCATAAGCATAATGAATTTCATAATTTTTTAGCCCTGCTTCAACATTTTTCTTTGTTTCTTATGATTTTAAGTGACTGATTCAAACATCCTTCTATTTTCCATGAAAATTACTAATATGAAGGAGGAATTAATTTTAAAATGATATAAATTTACCTACTTTAGATAATTTCTTTTACTGTTTTCCTAGAAATTCTGAGTCATTAGAAAAGAACCATCCTTTGTTCTGGCTGCACTTGCTTTCTTTTGGTTATAAAACAGTTACTTCGTTTTAAATGTAATTTTGAGATGATGCTCTTAAGTTAAGTTAAATTCATACTACCTATAATTCACTGGAACAATATTCAGTTCAATATATTAATAATCTCACAGGCACTTATATATTTATACAGTGTGAGTATAATTAAAGTGGCCCTACTCAAACCTTCGTAGAGTCCAATCTGTTTGAAGCATATTTTTGAAAATTGAAAATATGTTATATAGACCATCGGAGTGGAAAGAAAGCTATAATAAAAAGGAATAATAGTTCAAACTTCCGACTACTAGCTATCGCTTTTCGCGCAAAGTAGAAATGACGTCATGCTAATATTTAAAATGCTAATAATCGAGGCCTTAAAATCATTCTTCACCATGCCTTTAGAAAAGAAACATCGAACTTTAGTGGCCAAGTTGTTTTATAAGAATTGTAATGACGGTTACCTGTACTGAGAGAATTTCGAAATTTCAGCCGAAGAATGGTTTGAAAAAGAAGGTTACTAAATTCACACAGACTGAGCAAGTGTTGGCTGGAAGAGGACGAACATAGATTTTAAAAGAAACTGTGAAAGAAGTAGATGTTCTTATTTTTGACAGAGCATAGTGCTCCCGGTATTCTTTAACAATTACCTGAGATATGAAAGGTACAATATAATTTTAATTAGTACCATTTCATACCAGTTTAAAGTAGTATCCATACATATAAATAGCATTTAAAGTGGCATCCATACCATAATATTACACCATACCATTTTCAAGCTATATCCATGCAAGAACTCCATGGTGCAAAAACTGCATCCTCAAGACCCGTGTCAGTGCAATGATTTTGTTGCCGGTTATTGGTGAGAGAGGCAGTTGACAATGCATGGAGTTTGAACATTTTATGGTCATATGCGGCGTATTTTGCCTTAGACGGGGCACTGAATACTCAGAGCTGTTGCGTATGGGATACTATAAGTCCCCATATTGTATATGGACAGCCTCTGCATTCTGATCGCGTGATTGTATAATATGGTTTCCCTGCTAAATTCATTTTTCGACTTGCTGCTGATTTCTGCAGTAACAAGTCATTTCTCCCTTAAGAGGAAGAGAATGTTCATAGGCCATTGTCCTTCTTGCAAAATGGTGCAACACCCCATATCAGTGGTCAAACGAAGGAGCTGCTTCGTGCCCATTGATCGGGTAATTTTGAGAAGTTTTCCGACTGGCCTCCTTATTCTGCGGACACTTGAAATCTTGTGACTTCTGACTGTAGGCATAAATGAAAGATCATGTCCATGGAGGCAGCATTCTGCATGAATTGAAAACAAGCATAAAATGCCTTAATGCTGCAATTCCTCAAGAGAACATTTGTGCTACTGTTGAACATTCTATAACGCTCTTTGAATATGTGGTTGGCACAAATGGAATGCACATTAAACAAATACTGTGGTTAAATTAAAGTTTTATGTTTCGTATTTGCATTTCTTTTTCTTATTCTTATTGTTCTTTATTGCAGTTATCTTTTCTCTGTGATCCTTATAACGAATACATCAAATTTCAAAGAAATACGTCAACCAGAATGGGTTCTTGTCGGGCTGTAGTATGTAGGTGTGAAAAAGTAGGCTCACTTTATCTAGTACCGTCCTATCCCTTATTGGTCTCCCTGAAGCCTTATTTGATCGGAACCTTTTGTTCGATCATGATATCTTAAAATTAATGACTTTGGGACCATTTTTCCAGTTCAATAAAGAATTTTCGGAATTCGAAATTTTGTTTTTGAAATGTCACTTGAACTTTCACAAACAGAAATTTTATCTCAAGCGGGTTCTTCAAGAAATAGAGAAAACAATAGCAAAGAAATAATACTTTTTGTTACCCTCACCCAAGTAGCACAGCAACGTTGTATGGAAGAACTATCTCAGTGTAACTCAGTGTAACCCGAGGGAACGGGAGTATAAGCATCCTGGAAGGCGAAGGCTGGGAAAAGGAAATTATTTGTTATGAGAAAGCTTTCAGAAATAAGGAATCAGTCTCGAAACTCTGAAGTCTCACATAAAAAAGGAATTATTGCTAAGAACATTTCGATTTTGTTTTTCAAAAATGGCTTCTTTAACTGTCTATTCTAAAACCTTTACACATATTTTCTGTCTATTTACTAAAGTGTCTGTTCTTTTGCTATTTATCTAACTTTTAAAAGCTTTTCTTCCACAATAACAAACAAAAGTTTTCTATTGTTGTAATCTAGTTGGCATCTTGTTTCCGCTTCTGTTAGTCACAGAAATGCAGAGATTCTCCATAAGCTGAACTTTCAAATGTTTCTCTCAAGTATTGTTAAAATTGTGGTTAATTCCTTAATGACCACATATGAAATAAAAATTCTTAATTAATTCAGAACTTTTGTTGTCATTCTGGTTTAGTATATATTTTGATCAAACTAAGTGAGATTCGAAGTTAATTCTTACAAATTAAAATCTTGCTTCAAAATAATACAATATAATAAATCTTTCATGGAGCCAATACTGTATAATATACATTTTTTGAAAATGCTCAATAGTTTTTGAAAACTATGAGTAATCAGTTTAACAGTAGATCCTCTTTGAAGAAACCTAGACATTAAATATTTCGTATCAAAGTAAGAAAAATAAAGATTTGCTTAGAATATCTTTAAAATCGAGAGGTATTTTATGTTTGAGTTAATGTAAAAGAAAATTGTGAGTATAAGAGAATCGAAATTTATCTTCGAATAGTCCTTAGCGTTCATGCCCGATTAAATTCAAGGTGTATTTTAAAAGCAATGAACTAGCCTTTTATAAACCCCAAGAATTCAGGATACAAGGAGATTTACTTCCTCCCATTTTCAATAAAGAATTTTCGGAATTCGAAATTTTGTTTTTGAAATGTCACTTGAACTTTCACATACAGAAATTTTATCTCAAGCGGGTTCTTCAAGAAATAGAGAAAACAATAGCAAAGAAATAATACTTTTTGTTACCCTCACCCAAGTAGCACAGCAACGTTGTAACGACGTTGCAAACTCATCGCGGATGTCGTTGCAAAAACGTTGCAATATGTCTTCTTTAAGACGCCCAGATGTCCGCGAAACTCCACTGTTTTGCAATCGTTGAAAAGACGTCTTTTTTACGTCTTTGCAGATGAGGTTTTTGTCGTTATTGCGTCTTTGGCAGGTGATATTTTGGTTGTGAAAGCATCGTATCACGACGATGTATTAATGTTCGCAAAATTCCACCTTTTTGCAACAGTTGTGAAAATGTCGTTATTATGTCCTTGTGTTACATATTGATTTATGCAGAAAAATAAACTTAATAATAAATATATTTTTCTTCTTTTTTTAAATTTTGTATTCCTTATCTAAAGTTTAAATATTTTATCATTTCCTGAAAACCAGAAGATAATACAATTTTTCTCTTTATACTAAATATGCATAATTCATAATAGCCTTAATTTTTTTCAGAACTTTAAACTATAGTTTTTAAATTTCTCTTTAGACTAAATGCACCAGAGCCTCTTTCTCTTGCAGGATGACCGAGAAATTGTCATGCTTGCAGGATGACCGAGAAATTGTCATGCTTTCAGGATGACTTTAAGAATGCACCAGAGCCTCTTTAACCGTTGGCTTCGTTTTTTGAATACTTGAGCGTGGAATTTTTTGAAGAAGTAGCTGCCCAAACTAATTTGTATTCTGTTCAGCACAAATATAAGTCTGTAAACACGAACGCAAATGAAATAATGCGACTTGTTGGTCTCCATATTTGGATGGGCACATTGAAATTTCCTCAAGCAAAATTATATTGGTCAAGAGACTTATCGATAGGATGTTTCCTTGAAACAATGGCAAGAAACAGACTATTCACTCTGCGCCAAAATCTGCATTTTGCAGATAATTTAGCATCCCATGAAAATAGTGATAAACTTTAGAAAGTACAACCCTTTTTAAATCCCATCAAGGAAAAATGCCTTAGTTTGCCTCGACCGCAAAACATTTCTTTGGACGAGCAAATGATCCCTTTCATGGGGCGCTGTGCCTTTCGTCAGTATGTTCCGAATAAGCCCAATCCTGTGGGACTAAATAATTTTGTTCTGTCTGCAAAAAGATGGCTTGGTGCTAGATTTTGCAATTTATAATGGGAAAGGTTTTGTCTCAGCATGAGATATGCGTGTTTATGGTTTGGGAGGAGGTATTGTGAAAAAACTCGCTACCAGCATTCCAAAAGATTTTACTCATATCCTGCATACTGACAGATATTTTACGACCGTCAAATGCGCTTAATATTTGTTGAGAAACAAAATTTACATTGTTGGAACTGTCATGAGCAACAGACTTGATAATGCCAAAAACAAATTGAAAACTGACAAAGAACTGAGCAAAGGAGAGTGGGATGAAATGGCAAGGAATGACGAGATGTGCTTCATTAAATGGAAAGACAATAAGACTGTTACGCTTTTATCGACATGTATTGGAAGTGAACCATTGTCAACGTGCAAAAGATGGTCGAAAAATATAAAAATGAAAATTGATGTTCCACAACCTGGTATTGTAAAGGCTTACACACATCGATGGGAGGGACTGATCTCTGTGACAGATATTTAGCCTACTATCGGTGTACTGTGAGGACAAAAAAAATGGCCAGTTCGAGTCTTCTCTCATTTTGTGGATTTGGTGATATCACATTGTTGGATAATGCATGTATGCTATCACAAGCAAAACAATCTTACAATTCCTAATGGAATATCGCATGCTAGTTGCATCAGCATTGTGCAGATATGAAGGGAATTTAACAACTAATAGAGGAAGGCTAAAGCTTCCTTCAAGTTCAGATGAGGAAGAACCCCTAAGAAAGCACAGGAAAGTAATTTTCACAACCAGTAAAAGACGTGCGTCTGGATGGTGTAAATCACTTACCAAGATTCATGGATGACAAAAATGCATCCAAATGTAGAATGCCAGGGTGCACATCAAGAACAAGGGTATTCTGTACCAAATGTAAAATGTATTTATGTGTATTAAAAAATAATTGTTTTGAAACGTTTCATACAAAATAACATGTTGGTAAAGATCAAATATTAATTAAAATTAATAAAAAAATTTAAAAATTATGGTTGTGAATTTATATTGTGTATCATGTTTTATTTCATATTTTAAACTAATGGCTGCTTTAAATATTAAAATTTATATTTGTTAAAATTTACTCTTTTGAAACCTGAGGTACGCATATGTGTACCTAAATTATTTGGTCACCAAATGTACATATACAAAAAAAAACCTCTTTTTTTACCATCTATAGAAAGAAAACAAGCATATAAACTTCGCTAATATTTTTTAAATTAAATATTTTAACTTCGGGTGTAAAGAGGTTAAACTATATTTTTTAAATAACTAAAATTCTAAGTTAAGATTATTTAAGATTTCATCATTTTGTCTCCCTGAAGTGAGAGTAATTATGAAAGTGGTTATTATAAATTTATAAAATTAATAGTAGGTTTTAATTAACTAAAACTCAATTAGACGTAAATAAAAGTAAAGATATATATGTGAGTAAGAAAAGAGCATTTCTGGTAACAGCATTATCACATTTATTTCTGTTAAATCTCAGAGACATTGAAAATTGCCCCTTTCATGATAAATTAGAAAGCGGTTCTTAAGATAACATAATCAGTATTTTACCTGAACTCAAGTATAAATTTATTCGCGTTTCACAGTAAAAAATATAACCATTAACTTCTATATCTCCAAGATATGCAAATGAAAGACAGTATGAAATAGTTAATAAATGTGATCAAAAATATTTCATACAAAAATATACCTAAATCTAATAACTTCCCATATTCATATCTAAAATGAAATAATAACCTAATAAACAACATATATGAGAGCACTATTTAAGAAAAAGCATGAACTAGTAGTGTTCGAACGGATAAATAGCAGTAGGAAGATAACAGACTAAAATTTCCAATTAATAAAAAAAATATTTGTGTTTTTTAAATAGTAAGCAATTAAAAGTGCAATAATTATGGATTGCAGTATTTACTAGTAATGCTGATGTTTCTTAACACCATTTCTTTCGATCATATGTAAATGTATTTACTTACTATTAGTTTTTACATTTTAGAATAGTGGTAGATTACAATAATCATTTCATGCACTTTTTATAATCAATAACTTTCCTTTTGTTACTGTACAGAAATAATTTAAATAATATAGTATACGATAGTAAACTAAGTACGTTAAATTAAGCTCTTCGTTAAATAGCACACGATGAAACTTTTTGTTTCCATTTATTATGAATTTCTTTGTTATCACAAGCACATAAAATGTAAGCGAAGAATATACTTAATGAATATACTTTTACCACTTAAAGAAATATATACAAGCTTACTTGCTCTACCGGATATATTTCCGCAAATTTCTGCAATAATAAGTACCGAAAAATGGCAACATTTTTTCTCAAGCGTGCTTTTCAATAATTTTATTCAATTTAACAATAGCATCTTTAAACAAATTCAAGAAATTCCAATGGGAGGTAATTTTTTCAAGCTCTGTCTGTGAATTATTCCTTTTTACAAAAGAATTGACATTTGTCCGTTCACTCAGTAAAGAAGAACATAAATTTTACCAACACATTTATCGTTATATTGATGATGTCATAGCCTTTAACAACTACAACAAAATAGAAGTTGCTAATATCTACCCTACATGCTTAAAACCAAATAATACAAATACGGTGCAACATAATGTAGTCTACCTTGACTTACATATTATTGATTACAATTTTATAAAAGTTTATGACAAAAGAAGAGAATACACTTTTTCTACACTAAAATTATCCAACTGGAATTCAAATATTTCCAAAAGAGTCATCCTAAACACAATTTATTCACAGCTACTTAGAATAAAAAGGATATGCAATACCACAAAACACCTTCAAGAAGAAATACTATACCTCGTGAAATTTTGAAAAATAACCTAATTTCTCAAAAAATAATTAAAAATACTTTAAAAAAAGCTGGCATTAGCCTTACCAATTTTTAGATTTTTTGAGTTAGATAGTGCAATTTTATACTTAAAGCCCAATGGGACGGTATAAAGTGGATGGCTGATTCAGAGAATCTAATGTAAAAATGTACAGATAATTCTTGTCACTTCGTTTTCTTTCCTCCAAAAAATTTTGGCACAATACTTTTAATACTATTGTTTAAATAGTTTTAAATTAATTAAGACACAATAACACGCCGAATAAATACTAATTCAGAAGTCAAACAACAAAAATCAGCGTTATATTTACAAAATTTTCACAGGACTAGTTTCGATGGTTTTACCGAACCATCATCTTCAGCTGCAAAACCGCCAAACGCTGATTTTTGTTGTTTGACTTCTGAATTAGTTTTAAATTACTTTGATGGCCAATTCTACTTTTATTAACAAATCGGGCCTTTTCGTTTTCCATTGTAGCTTGATCGCCTACTAGCTTGAAGAATTACGACTTTTATTAACAAATGACTGTTTTTTCTATTTTACTCTTACTTTTTGTGGCCATGTTGAGTAATTTAACTGAATTAGCCGTTTTCACATTTAGAAACAGTTTTATTCTTCAAACAACTTGACTGACGCCATTTTGAATTCTTTCCACGTCTTTTCGAGTCTTTCAACCCCTTTTTAGCTCTGGGGGGACGAGTTCCCGCCAACGGACAATCTAATCGCATTGGCAATCTAATCGCAGTAACATTGTTTCCCCCGCCTTACGTCACACGACGAGAGGGATGGCTTAGAAGTACACAGAGGAGAATTACAAAAACCCCTTTTCAACTTAGCTTCACGATCAAGAGGACAGCATAGCCACAGGTCTGTTTTTTAATGTTTCTTTTTTTTAAAAAAAATTTTCTTGGTCTTAGCAAGACCCACTGCGTTTGTTTTCATTTAAATTTAATTTCAGATCTAAAATTTATAAAGGTTTTAATTCTTTAAGCTTGCAGGTCCAGCCAGTACGTTATTGTATATTTTGACTAATAGCAGACCGCTATTTATTTTATTTTATTTATTGCTGTACATCGGAGTTGCATTTACATTTTTTACACCTTAATGTGTCATTTTTCGCGGACGCGTCGGGAAATTGGAACAGAGAATTGAGACTCCAAAAAAATTTTTGGGGACAATTCATATAATTTAAAAAAAATTTCGTAACACAAGAGTTTCAATTGTCTGTTTCGGCGAAACGCTTAATGGAGTTAGCTTGGTTCGACGTTTAACTGAAATTTCCCTTGAAAAGCCAGGTTGGAAGTCGAATTGAGCTAATTTACCATTTACCGCTTTATAATTTTTATAATTTTATGTTTTTATGTTTTTATTTGTTTTATTTGTTTTAACTTGTTCCATCGATCGATTTTTATATGTGTTAACTTTTCACTTATCACATCGATAGGTTTTTACTGTATTTTTTGCCATTCACCTGTTTCCAACGATTGATTTTAACTGTGTTTTATATTCTACATTTTATTTCGCGTGTAGCCTAATTTTTCACCCTTCAATGTCATTGTATTTTAAAAAATACTGTGTTGAACTATTTCTTGGAGCCACAGCTCCTGGTAACTTTTTGGCGAGCTCACTACAATTTTTCTTATTATTATTATGAATATAATATACTTAAATGACTTACTTAATATAATATGATACTTAATATATAATATTAAATGACTTACTTAATATATAATATGATACTTAATAGATAATATTAAATACTTAATATATAATATTAAGTATTAAAATTAATATATAATATAATACTTATTAATATATAGTATAATGAACTTAATTAATAAAGAACAAAACCTAATTTCCAACATTTTCGTCTATTCAGATAATTAATAGACATACATAACGGCAATATTTAAAAAAACACGAATTACACAGTGTTTGGACGTTATAACCAAATCCGTGTATCCAAATATAACGATAATTCGTGTATCCAAATATAACGATTGCAAAATAGCCGCTCCGGTATCCAAATATAATGTCACTATTGCTGGAGCCACTGAAGACTGGAAAACCACAATATAATTTTAATCACCGGAAAGTAATAAAACGCCAAAACAGAACACTATTTAACTGTATAGACGATGTTAGCACTTGCAAGCAGATATTCACAAAAAAATAAGCGGAAATTCGGCATTACGACGAAGATTTCTGCCTCAATTCAAAATAAACTGCTATGATTATATTTTTGTACGTCGTTCTCTTTCTGCATTGAAGCTCTCCAGTATTTAATTCCAACGGTGAATTACAAAAGCGTGAAGAAAATATTCCTGAAAATAAGATGGAGTCAAATTATTGCGCAATTACTAACTTGTTCGGTTACTAACTTGTTCAAATTTGGCAGCTAGCCAAAGAGCGCAAGCCTCGAGCTCAGATGGTCGTTTATATAATCATTCAGTAAATAATATACATGGAATGTCGAACAGCAATTCAGTGCAACGTTTCAGCGATTTATTCGATTGCATTAAACCTTTCGACGGTTCTTCTGATAATTTAATAGAATCTTTTTTAAATGGCCTAGAAGAATTATTTCAACTGAATAGAATTAAGAACAATGTTCACAAAATACGAAATTTAGAAAAAAATATTTATCGGGCTCGCTAAAACATTTGTAATGTCAATGTCACCAAATCCCGAGTGTACCGTAATACTAGGATTAAACCAAGCATTTTTGAATGCACGGGAAAACGTAAAAACATGACAAACAGTTCATCAGAATTTTTACAGGTAATGAATTTCGTATTTTTGTTCACAGTTTCTCTAATTTTGATGTCAACATTTATTAGTAATTTATCAAAGCCATTAATTTTCTTGTTTTTCCATTAAATTGTTAGTTCTCTGACTGTCGTCGGTGAGTTTTCAGTCATATATATTGGACAGCCGTTAAAAATGCATGGATATGCATCGTCTTTTAACATTGGACGTTTTCTCGGAATTCTTAAAATTGCCCCATTTTTATCCGTGTATACATTTTCGCGAAAATTGTACTTATTGCTCTGTATGCGGTAAAATGTTT